GGGTCCTGGGATCGAGCCCCACATCGGGCTCCCTGCTCTGAGGGAAGCCTGCTTCTCCCTCTCCCACTCCCCCTGATTGTGTTCCCTCTCTTGCTGTGTCTCTCTCTCTGTCAAATAAATAAATAAAAATCTTTTTTTAAAAAAAATCATTGACTATATTCCCTATGCTGTGCCTTTTATTCCTATGACTTGCTCATTCCATAACTGGAAGCCTGTATCTCCCACTCCCCTTCACCCATTTTGACCACCATCCCCCCGACAAGAACTATCAGTTTGTTCTCTGTGTTTATGGGTCTGTTTCTGCTTTTTGTTTACTTATTCATTTGTTTTGTTTTTTAGATTCTACATATAAGTGAAATCTTATGGTATTTGTCTTTCTCTGTCTGACTTATTTTACTTAGCACAATATCCTCTAGGTCCATCCATGTTGTTGCAAATGGCAATATCTCATTTTTTAAAAAAGATTTTATTCATTTATTTGTCAGAGAGACAGCACAAGCAGGGGGAGTGGCAGGCAGAGGGAGAAGCAGGCTCCCTGCTGAGTAGGGAGCCCCATGCGAGACTCAATCCCAGGACCCTGGAATCATGACCTGAGCCGAAGGCTGACACTTAACTGACTGAGCTACCCGAGCATCCACAATATCTCATTTTTTTATGGATGGCTGAGCAATATTCCATTGTATATATATACAAACATTCTTTTTTTTTCCAAAGATTTTATTTATTTATTTGAGAGAGAGAATGAGAGAGAGAGCATGAGAGGGGGAGGGTTAGAGGGAGAAGCAGACCCCTGCCGAGCAGGGAGCCCGATGCGGGACTCGATCCTGGGACTCCAGGATCATGACCTGAACTGAAGGCAGTCGCTTAACCAACTGAGCCACCCAGGCACCCTTTATCTTGGTTATTATTAGTAATGCTGCAATAAGCATACAGGTGCATATAACTTTTTGAATTAGTGTTTTCATTTTCTTTCTTGCTTTTTAAAATATTTTATTTTTGTTTATTTATTGAGTTAGTTATTTTGAGAGAGAGATCGGGGGAGGGGCAGACTGAGAGGGAGAGAGAGAATCTTAAGCAGGTTCCATGCCCAGCGAGGAGCCTGATTCAGGGCTTGATCCCGAGACCCTGAATCATGGCCTAAGCTGAAGTAAAGAGTCAGATGCTTAACCGACTGAGCCACCCAGGTGCCCCTTAAAAGCTTTTATTTTTAAGTAATCTCTACCCCCAAGATGGGGCTTGAAGTCATGACCCAGATATCAAGAGCCACATGCTCTACCCACTGAGCCAGCTGGGCACCCCTATTTTTAATTTTTTGCGGAACCTCTCTTACACGGTTTTCTACAGCAGCTGCACCAATTTACATTCCCACCAATAATGCGTGAAGGTTCCTTTTTCTCCACATCCTTGCCAACACTTGTTATTTCTTGTCTTTTTGATACTACATTCTGACAGGTGTGAGATGACATCTCATTGAGGTTTTGAGATTTTATTTATTTATTTATTTAGACAGCTTGAGCTGGGGTGGGGGGGGAGGTAGGAGGGGCAGGGAGAGGGAGAGGTAGAGAGAGAGAGAGAATCCCAAGCAGACTCAACACAGAGCGCGGAGCCTGACATGGAGTTCTATCCCATGACCCTGAGATCATGACCTGAGCCAACAATCAAGTCTGATGTTCAACCAACTGAGCCACCCAGGTACTCCTCATTGACATTTTGATTTGCATTTCCCTGGTGATGAGTGATGTTGAGCATCTTTTCATGTGTCTGTTGGCCATCTGTGTCTTCTTTGGGAAAATGTCTATTCAGGTCCTCTGCCCATCTTTTAATTGGATTATTTGTGGTTTTTTGGTATTGAGTTGTATAAGTTCTTCATGCCTTTTGGATACTAAAGCCGCATGGGATATACCATTTGCAAATATCTCCTCCCATTCAGAGTTCGTCTTTTCATTCTGTTGATGGTTTCTTTCACTGTGCAAAAGCTTTTTTATTTTGGGATAGTCCCAAGAGTTTATTTTATTTTATTTTTTTAAAGATTTTATTTATTTATTAGAGAGCGAGCGAGAGAGAAACAGCATAAGGGAGAGGGTCAGAGGGAGAAGCAGGTTCTCCACTGAGCTGGGAGCCCTATGTGGGACTCGATCCCAGGACTCTGGGATCATGACCTGAGCCGAAGGCAGTCGCTTAACCAACTGAGCCACCCAGGCGCCCCCAAGAGTTTATTTTTGTTTGAGGGGACATATTGAGAAAAATGTTGCTAAGACTAATGTCAAAGAAATTACTGCCTGTTTTCTTCTTTTTTTTTTAAAAAAAAAAAGATTTTATTTATTCATTTGACAGAGAGAGAACACAAGCAGGGGGAGTGGCAGGCAGAGGGAGAGGGAGAAGCAGGCTCCCTGCAGAGCAGGGGGAGCCCGATGTGGGACTTGATCCCAAGACTTTGGGATCATGACCTGAGCTGAAGGAAGTCGCCTAACCAACTGAGCCACCCAGGCGCCCTATTGCCTGTTTTCTTCTAATTACTCTCTATTGGTAACTGCACTGTGCCACTCATCCTTGCACCAGCTTCCAGAGAGAAATAATATGCACAGGGTATGCACTGTGCAAATGCCTATTGCCTGTTACTAATTGGCTTTTGCTCCAAACCCGTAAGGCTTCCTGGTCCATGTGGAGCCCTCTTTTTGCCTGGGCTACAGGCAAGCCTGAGGGACACCTCGTTTGTCCTTTCCCTGAGACTCTTACTCCCTTGGGAAGGTAAGGAGGGGTCAGTCCAAAGACGATCACACTGAGGAAAAGAAAGGCTGAAAGGAAATTTCTCTTTAAGGTCTAAATGTTTTCCTACCTTCTTGATTATTATGTTAAAGTTCATTCCTAGGGGTGCCTGGCTGGCACATGACTCTTGATCTCTTGATCTTGGGGCTGTGAGTTTGAGCCCCATGTTGGGTGTAGAGATTGCTTTAAAAAAATCTTAAAAAACAAATAAATAGAAATAAAAACCTTAACACTAACATCCTCTTAGACCCAGCTGTTTAGAAACACACACACACACAGGAATATATATATATATTTAGGAATATATATATATATGTATTTTAAGATCTTATTTTTAAGCAATCTCTACACCCAACATTGGGCTCAAACTCACAACCTGTTTAAGGTTTTTAAGATATAATGTCCAGTTGTTCTGTTAAAAGATAACGTCAATTTTAATTTTTTTAATTTTTATTTTTTTAAAGATTTATTTATTTGAGAGAGAGAGCATGTGGGGGAAGTGTGGGAGGAGGGCAGAGGGAGAGAAGGAGACTCCTCGCTGAGCATGGACCCCATCCCCAGGCTCTATCCCACAACCCTGAGATCATGACCTGAGTCAAAGCCAAGAGTTGGATGCTTAACTGACTGAGCCACCCGGGCACCCCAAAAGATTACATCAATTTTTAATCCTACCAGCAACATACGAGATTGCTTGTTTCCCAATGTCCTTGTCAGTGCTGGGTGTCGCTCTTTTAAAAAAGTGGCCAATCCTGGCCAGGCGACTGAGCCACCTGGGCGCTGTGCGAAGGGGAAAGCTTTAACCATGTTATCTGGTGACATCAGAGAGGTTGGCCATGGGCTCCTCAAAGACTAGGTAGGGTGTGTTGGTTGTTTCTTGAACTGCGTTTAGCACATAGCAGGAACTTAATAAATATTGTTTCAACGAATGTGGGAGCATTGAGAAATGATCAACAATTCTGTGCTGGGGGTAGCAAGAGACATTTTACAGAGATAATTGGCCTAGGCCTGGCAGCAAGAAGTTTACCTTGAGCAGCAAGAAGGACATCTCTTCCTCCGAAGGCAGAATTAAAGGATGGGGGAAGTTAAAGATGAGGGCAGGTTGGGAGAAGGTAGAGGGAATTCTACTTGGCTTTATTTTTCTCTATGAAAAAGGAGAGTTGGAGTATGAGATGGTAAGAGGCAAAGGTTTGGAAAAGCCACGGGGGGGGGGAGGGAAGGGATCTAGGGACAAATGGAACAATTCTGGGTGGTGGTGAGGACTCAAGTGAAGGTGGAGGTAATGACGTGTGGGTTTCATCCTTGCAGAACCTCAGGGAGAAAATGAACGGACGTGGAGGGCTCCCTAACACGGGAATGAATATGGTGGGCACTAGCCGATGAAAACAAAGCCAGAAAAGCAGGTACTATGTGGAGAAGGGGAAGCTGGAATTTCACATTTCACGTGGACCAGTTGTGTGGCCCTTGGGGTGCATGGCTGAGGTGCAGGGGAAAGTCATGGACACGAGGATGTCGAGGGACTGAGGCCAGGTTTGTCTGAGGATGTTAAAGTCTCCCAGAATCCAGGGCGGCGCCGTGAGCCACGTGACAGCCCGCCTTGATTGGTCAACAGTGGACATAGTTGAGAAGATGGCGGCTCAGCGAGAACCTCATCAAAGTAGGTCTGTACACACAGCAGCATCCAGTGTGCAGGAGGGCGGTGAGGGGCAAGGGGAACGCGGCCCCTTCCTCTGGTCTGGACAAGGACGGAGGAGGCGCTGTGGGAAGGGGAGAGAGTCTGGGTGGTGTGCACCAACAGTGGAGTATTGACAGGGTTGGATTTCCAGAAGCAGCGCGTAGCTCTGGCCACAAACGTGTTCTGTGTCCCCTGTCTGAACCCGGTCTCCTAACATGTATCAAAGGGTCTGGGGTAGAGTTTTAGCGCTCCTTCGAGTTAGGGGACTCCAAGAGGACCAAGACGGGGTAAAAATGGCGGAAGGTCAGCTGGGCCTTGAACGGCAGGGCAAGCCGAGGCAGGGCCCGCTAGTGGCGTCGCGCGTCTCCACGGCGACGGGACTCGTGGCCCGGACGTGGGCGGAGCTTCGGGCGGGGCGGGGCATCTCTGTGACGCCAGGGGCTGGGCCTAAATGGCGAAACCCGAGAGGCTCCCGGGGGGGTTTGAACTGGCCAATGGGCGAGCTGCCGACCGGGTGTCGGAAAAGGAGGCGGAAGCGGGGAGGAGCCGCCGCGGGAGCCGGACTGCATCCGCCGCGGCGTCTCCATGGCACGGCCCTGGCCTCCGACTTCAACGACTTCATAAGGAGACGTTTCTGGGCGCAGCCGTGTCGCTCCTGGTGAGAGGCCGCCGGCAGGCGGGATCCCGGGCGCTCCGGGGCGCTCCGCGGCCACCGCCGGGCCGCGTCCCCACGGGCAGCATGGCCCCCGC